TCCATCTTCTGTGGTGATGGTGGCACTTTGGGATTGGTCATTACTAAAAGTGCACCGGGCAATAAGGGTGAAAGGTATTGGGGAAAAATGATAAATATTGTACACACAACTATGGGTATAAAGATAGGTGACTGTCCGGAGGGGAGGGGAGTGTGCTCATGGCTGGATGCTGAGCAGACCTCTGTCGGGCCGAAAGAAAATCTTTTAGATGAACAATTAATAAACACAGAGACCGAAAGAAGAACTGAAGCCTCTTCTCATCCTTTGATACGCGGGCTGCCCCAAGGCCACCCCGGGCCTTTCCAGGCCCTTCAAACAGCCGAAAACCAGACAGGTGGTGATGGGGAATTTGTGCCATGGCCAAGGCGTTTAGCAGCTGCTTCCAGAGTTGGAGAGGTGAGTTCTGGCTGAGCAACCCAGTTCTTTTTTAGTGCTTGTCTTAACAATGTGCAGCAGTGTGGCCTTGCTCTTGGTGCTGGGTGCCTATGCACCATTCAGTGCAAACAAACTGAAGACCTGTGGATGGAAAAGGAGAAAGGTTAGGTGACCTTCGAGAACTGCTGGAAATATCTGGTGTCTGAGGACTAACAGAACCTATGGTACCTAACTGATTAGATTTGATTTACTTTGGAAATATGTAATAACCTGTCACTTTGGAGCTTTTTCATTTTTCATGGCTATTAGATGATACAATTTACAATATAGAAAAAAATCCAGACTGACAGCCCTAACAGACTTTCTTATATTACCTGCAAGGTCTTTGTATCTTTGTTTTTAAGTCTATTTCCCTTCTTCTATATTTCTGTGCTATGGGAATAGTCTCTATGGAGCTCATAAAAACAGAAAAACAGTTCAATAAATATACACTTTAAACAGTTTTGCCTGTGGGCACAAAATGATCCAGGGCTTGAATAAACCTCAGTTCAGTCACAAAACTGAATTGTAGCTGCTAGCTAAAGTGAGTCAGAGTAACACACAGGCCTTGTCCTGTGAATATGATTGGTCATACAAAACCCACCTCTCAAGACACAGAACATCTCTTGGCATTGTTACTGTTGGGATTTTATTGAGTGCAAATAGTGAAGTGGGATAGGAAAAGAGATAATTCTTTTCTTCTTATTTAGGAATTTAAATGGGTATTCTACAGTCAGACACAGAGCAGAAGACAAAAACTTTCTATAATAAATATAGACTATATATCTGAATGTCATTATTTTTGTTATTGTCTCAGAACTGGCTTTCCTTGCTTGACCTAATACTGCTCCTTGGCAGTACAATGAGCACAAACCTCTCTCTTGACTCGGGATATCTCCAAAATGTTGTGTTTCTCCTCCCAGAAGCCCCAGCCTGTTCTGTAGTCATTGCAGTGGGATGTTCCCAGTCCCTCTTCTGTGCCAGTGTGCATCAGGACTCCTCAGTATAAAGGACCATCCTGTGTAGTACTCTTCCACTAAGCACACATCAGTGTTCTGCTTCTTCCTTATCTGCAGATAGCTTTGGAAAGTTGTTTGTGTTTGTCAGCTAGGAAAAAAGCAAGATGAAAATAAACATGTGGAGGGAGCTCTATTTCACTGGAGCTTAATTTTATTTTTGCACAAGATTCTGTATTGTCTGTGCTGTGACTTACTTGCTCATTGCCTTAAATTTGTATGTCTGCATTATATACTCCAGGATACTCCTAAATGGAAATTCTTTAGGCTAGTCCACAGCAAACTTGTTGCAATTTGTAATGGTGTAAGAACAGGAACAAGGCCTGTGCTGTCCATAAAAGTCCAAAAAATTAGTAGCTGATATCAGAAACAAGTATAACTTGACAAAGCCATTTCCATGAGACTTAGCTTGCAATCCTTAGCATCACTAAATGTAGCTTGTCAACTGTTTTAATTATTAGAGACTAAGCTTTTCTGTCCCTTTTCCCCTGATGAATGAAATTATCGTATTTTTCCAAAGTAATGAGTGGCAAGCTGAGGTGTTATAGCAAAGATAAAAGATCAGAATTTGTGTTTTAGATGTATTTAGGAAGAGGCAAAACTGCAGGGTGTTTTTTGTTGTTGGGGTTTTTTTATGATTCTTAGTGTGCATTTCTTGTCAGAAGAAAAAATATTCCCAAAGATGATGTTTAGCGATACAAACAGAACCAGATTTTGCAGATCAGAGAACCTATCAACTACTCTGCATTTCAGCCTAATTTTATTATGAAGTCAGCTGTCTGTGTGCTTCATGCTGGTATCTAACTATTAAGCTCTTTCTTCATGTCTGTTTCCCTTCCCATTACAAAAACAACCTCATTGTGCTAGTTTTATTTTTCAAATTTATTTCCGTGCATAGTTCTTCACAATAAGTTGATATAGGAAACTTATAAATAAAAACTTGGAGATGTCACTGTTTATAAAATGACACGCCAGAATGTTTATGTGGCCCTGGACTGCAGGAGCAGGAGAATGGATGAATATCCTGCAGCTGTTTTGGCCATTATACTGTGGATGGCAGGTTGCCAGCAATAAGTGTGGCAGTGTCAGTGCCTTCCTCTGTGTGATAAAAGAGAGAATATTTGCACTTTCTGAACCATCTCAGGAGGATTTATGGCAGAGTTTGGAGGACTTGAAGTGACTAAAGATGGAAGTAGAAAAGCAGCTTGCAGGTTTTACACCAACCTGTCCTCCTGTTGGCTCCTCCAGGCCTGGCAGTGCTGATGATTTCTTTGCCCTTCTTTCCAGAACATTTGAAAGAGAAGCTGGAGGAATACATGGTCCGCTTTGCCAAGGTGAGGATCGTGCGCACCAAGAAGCGGGAAGGGCTCATTCGGACCAGGCTGCTGGGAGCCTCGCTGGCCAGAGGAGAGGTCCTGACATTCCTGGACTCCCACTGCGAGGTCAACGTGAACTGGCTGCCACCCTTGCTCAGTAAGTGCATGAGCATTCATCGGGCATTAAAATCAGAGTATAGAACCAGTAACTGAAGCTGTGTCCCACAGTAAGCTAGACATACACTGTGTCAAAGTGTTTGGAGTTCTGCTGAAGTTCTGATCTGTCTCAAGTGTCAGTGTGAGACAGAGCTCCAAGAAACATGAGCGGCTGCATTTTGTTCCTCAAGACTAAAGAATTTGTAAAATCTCTCAGTAATGCTTCAGCATATAATAGTTGCAATTTATTTTATTCTTACTACTACTAAATACACTGCTATATCTAGTATAATGTCATGTCCTTGCTAAAGAACTGAAAGGGTTTTTTATGCAGGTATTGTACTCCTTCCTAGTTTTCCACATTGCATTAAAACAGTTTTTGCTGTAAATATATCCGAGGCCTCAGTGTTAATTCCAATAGCAATAGCATTCGCAACAGGAAGCTCAGAAAGAATGACTTGCTATTGACTATTTTGCTGGATTCCAGCTGCAGCCAGCAAAGCTCCATTAGTTAAAGGAATGGAAGGAATCAATTGTTGTAGTCTAAGATTTCACTTCTGGAAACAATGTTCTCTTTTCTATACACCACATATACATGCAAAGTATATATGCTTTGCTAAGTGAGTGCTTTTTGCTACCATAACCAAAGAAAATTTCTGAGTTGCCTAATAAAGAAATTTGTATTCATTTAAAAAGTCTGCTGTAAGTACGCAGAAGGTTATGGTTTTGCTAATTAATGGTTATTGTTCCTTGAATTCTGATGTTGGGACTCTTGGGCCACACAGTAAGCTGATAAAGCATTTGCAGCAACATGTGCATTCTTCTAATAAGCTATCAGTAGAGACCAAGAAAAATACTATTAACTAGTTTCTCTTCAGATCAGTAATAAGATAATGCACAAAATTCCAAATTTTTATCCTTCTTAGCTTTCATATCAAATCATGCGTACAGTTGTTCCCCTTGTTATTTCCTTGCCCTCAAACACATCTGCATTTTTAAAAATAACCTCCATGTCTTCATGTAGAGCAGAAATGTCATAAAGGAGCAATCCAAGTTGAGGCCGGTTCCCCTTGTTCTATCACACAAGATAGTCAGTTTCTTCTCCTACAACTAGGAGAAGAAACCAACCCCACATCACCACAACCTCCTTTCAGGCAGTTGTAGAGAGGGATAAGGTCTTCCATGAACCTCTTTTTCTCCAGGGTAAACCACTCCAGGTCCCTCAGTTGCTCCTCATAGGACTTGTGCTCCAGACCCTTCACCAACTCCATTATCCTTGTGTGAACTCTTTCCAGCCCCTCAATGTCCTTCCTGTGTTGAGGGGCCCAGAACTGGACACACGACTTGATGTGCAGCCTCACAAGTGCCAAGGACAGAGGGACAATCCCTGCCCCGGTCCTGCTGGCCACACTATTGCTGACACAGGCCAGGACAGCCTTGCCTTTTTGGCCATCTGGGCACAGCTGGCTCATGTTCAGCCACTGTCAGCCAGCAGCTCCAGGCCAGGCCCTTTTCCTCTGGGCAGCTTCCCAGATGTGCATCTGTAGGCTTGTAGCACTGCATGGGGTTGTTATGACCCAAGGGCCTCAATTCTTGATTCAGCCTGTCCAGATCCCTCTGAAGAGCCTTCCTGCCCTCCAGCAGATTGACAATCCTGTCCAACTTGGTGTCATCTGCAACCTAACTGAGGGTACACTTCATCCCCTTGTCTAGATCATCCAGAAGTTAGAAAGTACTGGCCCCAGTACCGATTTTGTGGGGAACAACACCTCCAATCTTCCACCAACTGGATTTAACTTCATTCACCACAACTCTCTGGGCTGGCCATCCAGCCACTTTTTTATCCAGTCAAGGGTGTACCTTTCTAAGCTGCCAGCTTCTCCAGGAGAATGCTCTGAGACAGTATCAAAGGCTTTACTGAAGCCCAGGTAGACAATATCCATTTCCCCACATCCACTAGGCAGGTTACCTGCTTATAGAAGATCATATTAGTCAGGCAGGACCAGACTTTCATAAACCCATCCTGGCTGGGCCTTATCCCCTAGCCTATGTGGTCTTCCATGAGATAATCTGTTCCATACATTTAGCCATATTTCACCATGTAAAAACCAAAGAAGAAATAGATTGGCATCAAAGGATTCACAATTGCAGCCAGGTTGCAGTTGATATTGAACCCTCAGCCTCAAACCAGAAAACTGGAAAGATGAGAGCAACTGCATCAGTGCCCGTCTGTTGTCAAGAGGAATGAAATGTTTCTCATTCCACATATAGTAGAATACCTGTAGATAACCAACCAGCCAGAGCACCTAGAAATGAGTCTCGAGGAATACTGAAGCCCAGAATCAAATCTGTTTTATTTTGAAAGAAAAAGTAGAGCATTACATAAAGGACAAATAGAAAATGAACACACATCTAATATATTTTTCCTGTGCCCTGTTTTTCTAAAGGAATGAGAGAATTTTCTTATAAACTTGACATGGCATATATTTACTATACTGAAATCAGATGACACCTGGCTGCTAATAATAGTATAGTAAATGTATGTTTTCAGATGTTTATCTGAAGTCATATTTTGTGATTCGCTCAGCACTGCATGTGACTGAAAGTCATTCAGGGAAACCACAACAGAGGACATGTTGAGTGTTTATTGCTTTGAAGCTGCCCTGTTTTAGCTCTGACTGAATCTGGCATGTGTAGTGAAAAATCCTCAGCAAGTACATAGTTCAGCCCTGCTCTGGACTGGCTGTCTTTGCTGAGAGGAGCAGTAGTTTCCACTGTTCCAAACCAGGTTTTGTTCCAAATGAGACCTTGAAAGTTAGAGGTTGGGGAAGGGGGTGAGGAACCAAGAGCAATCACTTAAAGATGGTTCTCAGAGCTATTTAAGTATCTAACTTACATATTCAGAATGAACTATCAGCTTTTAGGCCAAAAAAAGACTGAGTTATTTCAGTACTTTTAGGGTATCTGAATGGCTTTGTGGAGCTGAGCCACAGTTGTTTTCAGTTACAGTTACTTTTGGTGTACACAACTGCAAACACCCTGGTTTTATCAAAAGACCAGATTTTCCTGTGGTTCCTTCTCTCTAAAATATTTTGGAGGCTGAGAGGTAAGTTCTGCAGAAATACACAACAGCAGGTAAGCATCATCATACTTGCAGAATTCTTGAGAGAGTTGCAGAAATGAAGACTGGGATTGAACTTGAGCATTGCTCAAAAAAAATCTCCCCCTGGCTATCTACATGTGACTGGGAGATTTCAAATCCTTCAGTGTATTTAAAGATAGCAGTTTTTAAAGACGAAGAGAAGGATGGTAAAGCATTAAGAGTCTACCTTTGACCTGCTTCAGAAAAATCAATCCCATTTAGTTTCTCTACTCCAACCAATTTAGAAAGGGGGATCAGAGACAGATTGTTATAAGCCCTATAACTATTAGGAGGGCCATCACAGGAAAGAGATTATGTAAAAGTGACTTTATATAATGATCACAGATAACACTGTACAGTGTGCCAGTGAGTGTAATTATATTTGGCAGTAGCAACAGTAATGCAGCCATTATCTCTGTGATGAGTTTCCTAGAATTTTGTGAGATCCTGTGCTTTAAATTTATTTCACTATTAAAGAATAAGGATGTTAAGAACAGGCTCAACTTCCAGTCACAGTAATTTCTCACTAGAAGCATTGATCCTTGATTTCTAAACTTAAACTTCTGAGAACAAATATAAAGACCCTGATGTTTTGTGAAAATAAACTTTTTTTCTTAGCTCCAGTCCTGCAGAAGCATGGAAGCAGAATCTGTGTTATTAATCATTATACCAGTATTACCTGCCTTCCTAGCTAAGTGTTCAATCCACACTCAGCCCTCTGATTATTTTTAGGGTATTATCAAGCATCAGTGAAATCTAAACAACAAAATCAAAAAAGAAAACCCAAATTTTTCATATAGGCCCTAAAATGTACTAAATAATATAGAGGATCTAAGCTGCCGTTCAGAGAAAAAGCTTTGTACTTGGAATGTTAAGGTTTTAGGGGTTTTTTGAGGGTTCATGGGTAATTTTTTACAGTCCTTTCATGTCAACACTGCTATAGGTTTTCTCTATACTGCCTCATTTCAAACCATTATTCCTCTGCCTAGTTCTTGATGTTGGCCTGTCTTCTTTACTTGTCTTTCTTTTCAGAGGAGCTCTATAGGATTAAGCAATAGGATTCACCAAAGCAGACTCAGGCCGAGCTGAGCTTATGCTAGGGATGGGAATTTGATTTAGTCTCACAGTTCTAATTTTTTTTTAAAAGCAAAACTAAAGTCCTTTCTTTAGAAAGCAGGTAAGAATAATACTGTGGAGCCTTCTTTAGAACTCAAAGATTGGTGCAAAAAAAAAGGATGCAAGCTCTGTTTTTCTCTTTGTGTTGGAGTTTCCCTTTAATTTGGACCATTTGATTTCAAAGCTGATACACTCTGCAGGCCACAGGAACAGTGACTGAATGGTTGCAGGGGCTGAAATTCACATTTAGGAATAAATCTCTCTCTCAGGGGGTTCCCAAACAGACTCCTTACAGATGAGGGAGTATTTTTACCATTTGCTTGCTGGCCTGCTCCATAGCTGACAGACTGGGGACAGCTTGGCATAGCAATGAGAGAGAGATGCAGATGACTGGACTCCTGTGGGTCTCACAGGGATGTGCTTCCTTTTAAGGAACCATAAATACTTCTAATTGTTCCCCAACTGCATTAATTCTACTTTAAAGAAAGGTTTGATACAGATTGGAAAGATTAAATTATTGGGAGACCACAGGGCACAAAGCAAGCAATCTTCAAACATCAGAAACCTGTGGGATTCACTTTGCAGTAATATGATAGATGGCTTGACTAGACATGCCGTTTCCTATTTTCTACTTTCATTTTTCAGACCAGATTGCACTTAACCACAAAACCATCGTGTGTCCCATGATCGATGTCATTGACCACAACCACTTTGGCTACGAGGCGCAGGCGGGGGATGCCATGCGAGGAGCTTTTGACTGGGAAATGTACTACAAGAGAATCCCGATTCCTCCAGAGCTCCAGAGAGCTGATCCCAGCGACCCCTTTGAGTAAGTAGCGATAAAGGGGAGAGTGGGAACATGAAGAAGGGCAAGCAAAAAGTGTAACTGTAGCAGAATCCAAGCCCAGGCATTTCCATGTAGGTCACTTTCTGCTAATGAAAGGTAATAGAAGAAAACACCTGAAAACTAGGAAAAAGATCAAGGCAACTATTTGTAGAATTCACAAGCTGTGCATGGAAACACAACTTGACTCAGTGACTGTACATAACAGACAGGCACATACTTGTAGTTAAGTACTGGCATCAGAGAAGTGATTGTAATGGCAGGAATTCTGTTTATTTCACAGAAATTTTATTTAATGTTTTATTTGCTGGCGATTGATGCAATATATGCACCCGCAGTTGAGTCCACGTTACACCAGCAGATGCTTTGTTTATAACTGGTGATATGGCTGCTGTATATGCAGTGCTGCAACTTAAACACAGAGCTGTCAAACCCGAACACTGTCAAGATGATTTGTAAATAGTTTTAGATAAGACAGCCTCTGATCCCAGTATTGTAGAGATCAGCTCATTCACAGAAGTTATCTTCCTTCTTTTCACAAAGGTACATCCTTTTTTCTTATCTCTTCTTATAATTATTCTCATGTAAGCTCAGCTTGGATTAATCCTTATCAAAAGAGAAAGGACAGACAGACAGACATGGTTCTAATGTGGGAAAGTCCCCAGGTCTCACACAGGCACAACCGAGCAGAGCTGCCATTAGGGCAGGCTCTGACCTTCATTAGCCCTGGCTGAGCCACCACACTGTAGGTTATGGCAGTTTGAAACCTCAGCGTTCTCCCCTTCCCAAAGCAAAACGTGGAAACAATAGCAACAGAAGAACTCTGACCCTAATATCCAGGGAATGACCAGCAGGGAGGAGTAGGTAACTGTGATATTTGTGGGCTCATTTTCATTTTTCTACTTGTTCCTTTTTGCTTATCTCCATCCAGGCCCTTCGGTCTTCATCTTGCATTAGCATAAGTGCCAGTGAAGTACTTGACATCAGGTGCCAATGTGACCACTTGTCACTGATCGGGTGGGAGATTCAGGCAAGCCCTGCTTTCGTCTCAGATTTTTGACAGCAGTTTAAATTTAGTATGGCCCGCACCTAAAATCGCTTCAGCCTGCAAGTTCTCAGGACAACAGATCAGGTTTATTATAAAATTAGTTATTCATTTAATAGATAGGCAACCACAGTCAAAAGGCCTTGAAGAGAGCTACTTATTACACAGTATAAAACAAAGAGAACTAGTAGATTACATAAAACAGTGCACAATATCGAGGTACCTATATTTAACCTGGCAAAGAACTAGTGTAAATTAGGAGTCAATGTAATTTACTGCCAAAATAACAATAGCGTACAGTGTGCTTTCACTCAGCTCCCAGGAGGGTAACCTTAAGGGAGGCATCCCAGGTTTGGAGAGAAAGCCCCACAGATTTCCAGGGAGTATGCAGAAGATTTCTGCTTTGTGAAAGTTTGATGTAGCTTTTATAGTTTGTAAATTGAACTGTTAGTCAGAAATTCCAGCTTCCTTTCTAGATCTCACTTCCACAGCAAGAAACATTACTTCCATGGCATCAAAAAAAAGTCACTGCAAGACAAGCTGTCTTGACTGGGCTATTTCACCAATTAGCAAGCTCTCATGAAGGGCAAGATGCCCTGAGTTCACCAGCTAACAAGACACAGATAAGCTCTTCTGAGGGGCCAGATGCCCTGCTACACCATTCCACAACACGGACACAGCTAGTGCAATCACATAGCGCTCCAGAGCTGCTAGATATTCAATTGCTCTAAGCATCCTTGGTCCTCTGAGCCATTGTAGTTTCTTGGCACTTACTGAAAGTAACCTTTGTATAGTTTGGTTCAGCTTTCAAAGTTTGTGTAAGTAAAACTTCTCTATTGCCAGCGTAGCCACAGGGTTGCTTATCAGTTGTTTCACATTTGCTGTTTGTAGTTTGGATCTTGTAGAATCTTGTTGCGAAGACAAGAGAGGACTAAAGAGGAATCTCTCATAGGAAGCTTCCTAGAAAGACAAGGTTTTGTGCAGTACAGAATAGATGTGGTGGCTTTGAATGAACTGCTGTTCCACTCAGCATGGCAGCAGCTGATACCCACCTTGCCCTGCCAGTGTGAGACACAGGCAGATAAATGGCTTCTCAAGGAACAAGATATAGTACAGTGCAGCCTATAAATCTCTTGTAATCTGAGTACTTGTCAGGTGCAAAGACCTCCCTGTTCTAGCACAAATCAGCGAGAGTCTCCCTTTGTTTTCCCCATAGCAGGATGCACATCAGAGCGATGCTGCTGGGAAAGCAGCACATGAGGAGCCATCATGTCTGTCCCCACACATGCCAGCAGGACTGAAGGCTGGCTGAGCTAGGACAATATGCTTGCTTAAAAGTACCCTCTGCCCAAGATGGCAGATGGGAATAGATGTGTTTTAAATAATCAGTATGAATTTTGCTTAGGGGAAAGTTTATTTTCTAATTCGAAGTCAGTACTGCTTCTCTCCTATGGCCTTCTCTGCTGAGACCTCAAGTTTTTAATACCTTGCTTACAACAAGTACAGTAAATGTTGCAAACCATTTTACCTATCAGTAATTTTACCTATCAGTAACTTAATTGACCAAGACAGCTTCTGTGAAATAAAAGATACAGAACAGTTTTCCTTTAGTTACATATGCACTAAAACTAGAAATTGCTTCAGCCAGCACCATAATTATTATGCTACTGTTTTGCAAGCAGTAGGGATTTTTTTTTTTAATTTAGGTTAAATATTTTACTGTTGATATCGTAATAGTTCTATTTCTTGCCAGCAGAGTCAGATCTGAGATGATCCCTAATGAACTGGAAAATTGCCAGCATTTTTAGTAAAACACCAGCAAATAATGGATACATGATCCAAAAAGTGTGCTGATGAGTTTTTCCCTTCACTTAAAATGCCATCGCAGTATATGAGTGAAGCAGAAAAGGTCACATCAGCCTAAGAAATAATGTACATAAAACCAGATCAAACTACAGAAGACCTAAGAGCAGTTGTTGTATTATCTGCATGGTACATTTGCTTTCCATCTGCACATGATCAAAGTCCTGCTGCAGCACACACCAGCAGCGTGTTTGCAGCTGACACAAGCAGCTGAAGTGTTGGCAGGTAGGCTCTTGGTATGGCAGGAGCACGAATCTTACTGAGCTCCAATGCCAGCTCAGCTAGTGCTCTGGAATTAATCTTTTCCCACATTTTAATTTTTTTCTAATAGTATCCCATTGTGGTCAGTTTTGACCAGGTGCTCTCCCATTAGACACCATCTATCTCAACACGGTCTTCCAGTTCAAAATGCTTCCTGTGAAGAAGAGAGATTTTCATTCATTTGTGGTGTGAGTGTAGTCTTGATTTATTGTTCCCATGTCTGCAGTGCCACTTGGGACAACATCTCCATCCTTTGCTGTGACAGAACTTGGAGCTTCACTGCAGCTCTCAGCTTTTTCTGATGTACACTCAGAAGTACACTCAGAAATGGTGTTCCTCTCACCCATTCTCAGGCCCTCTGCAGTTGTTCACAACAAGTAGCTTTACACCAAGATTTGGCTTGATGTTTATGGCTTTAAGACTGTAAAACGCTCTCAAAAGCTTCCAGTGTGAAATTCAGGTGCAGATGATGTACTAGCTGGGGAGTCATATCACAAATTTGTAACTGCACTTGGATCAGGCAGCATTCATGCACGAATTTTATCAGTTTGTTTTACATATAGTTTGTCACTGGCCATGCCAAATTTCCCATAGGTTTCACTGAACCGAACTACAGCCATTTAAAATGTATTTTCAGTCAAAGCTCCCATATGAATTATTGGATATTTTTCTATGCTCACTGCAGCGTATAGGAAAGCTTAACAACTATTCCATAAATGGATCTCATGTAGCTTTTAAGATTAGCGAGTTTTTTGAAATATCTCTGTGACTATTTTTCAGGATATATTGAATCCTTCTAGGCATGGAATCTGGGTTTCTCTAATAAGGTTGCCTCCTCATGCAGACACTAAGTCTGTGAACTCTTTGATTTCCCTTTTTCATGTGCTACACAAATGAGAGGTTTTATATTGCATTTAACTGATCTGTTCCCGTTGCAGATCATCATAGTGACTGTAGTGATTTTTGTCTTGCAATTTGTGTACGACTACCTGAATATACTCTGAAGAGTGCTTCATGCTATTTTCTTCTGCTGCATCTGGGGTTGTGCAAGCAACTCAAATTGGTGTTCTGATGCATGGTGGGAAATTGTCAGACAGTTGTGGAACCATGATTATGTCATGATGATGCTCACTGTCTTGATCCCAGAATCGGTGATCATTCAGCAGAACTGGAGATCACTTGGAACACTTTATTGGAGTCTATAAGCAGGGAGGACCAGAGATGTTTATCTGCTTTGTGGCAAGGGTCATCTTGGCTTATCATCTCCGGCTGGTTCGTTCCTCTGTCTCAGCAGAGGTTTGGGAGCTTGCCCTTACAGGACACTTAGGTTTGGGACATAAGAGCACGCTCCTCTGTGTCTGTTCCTTTCCATGGTGCAGGCTCTTTGGTCTCCAGCACAGCTTGCCTAACCCAAGCAATCCCCACTTAAACTAATGGGATAACCTTGTTACTGTAATGGACTGTGATGTACAGCATGTCAGTTTATATGATTTAATAGCCTGTCTGAGCTAAAAGCTCTGTGGAAGTTCAAAGTGGAGGTTTGATATGCTCAGGCCTGCTGGGGATGACCACTCTTTATTTCCTGGCAGCACTTACATTATAGCAATTCATGGTACCACATGCCTGATCTCAAACTGGCATCCATTTCATGCCAGCTGCAACATATTTTTAACCAGACAAAAAACATAATTTCAACTCAAAAAACTATTTGGAAGGGGCTGAAGAACTCCTTGGAGCAGTTTTATGGTGGTGTAACTTTATGATGCAGGAAGGAGAGAAAGGTGCAGGTTAGACCTAACAACATTACTGTTGAATT